GCGGTCACTGCTCTGCGCCGCGCCATTCTCGCGGCGCCAGTTGACGAAGGACCTGGCCTTGTGGGGTCATCTCGAAGAGCTTATCACTTGGCGCGCCGGATGAAAACTCCTCGGGCATCTTCTCGACGAGCTCGAAGCTCTTGTTGATCGGCAGCACGAGGTCATGGAGGTAGAAGAGCTCGGAAGGGGATCTCGGGGAGGGCCTTGCCGACGCGCTCGGTGCAGGAGCCGAAGCTGGGGCGCTGGGCGCTCTCGGCGCCGAGCTCGATGTCCTCCTTCTTGGCGAGCTCGAGCATCTTCGACTTGGAGCTCGGCGTGAGCCAGAGGAGGTTCTCGGGGGGCTCTCCGTGATTCTCGAAGATGTCGTGGAGGAACTTCTCTCTCTCGCAGTTGGTCTTGTAGAGCGACGCTGCCGCCGGCTCGACGCGCCTCTTGTCCATCTCGTGGAAGATGTGCCCATGCTTGATGCTCATGAGAGAACCGCCGTTGTGGGCCATCTCGAGGGCGGCTTGCTGGGCGCTCGCCGACCACGAGGCGCTGTCCGCCTTGAAACAGCAGGCCGCCATTCTTGCTGCGTCAGTTCCGTGCGCGCTCGATTGGCACTGGCGCATCTCGGCAATGGCGATCTTGTCTGCGATGGAGGACAGCTTGTCGAGGATCTTCTCGTTCTGCTTGGCCATGCGCTCGAGAGTCTGTCGAGCTCGGGCTCGCGTTCTGGGTCGCGAACCCCTGCAGGGCCGCGGCCTGCTGGGTCACCGCCTGGGCGCGCTCGGCGGCCTGGGACATGGCCGAGGCTCGCGACGCACTGAGGGGCAACGATGTGGGGGGGATTGGCATTGGGGGGGGGACATCGACCCGGAATCGGCGACACATCGCCGATGCACCGGCGATAGGCGCCCGATCGTGAATCCGCGCGTTCCTGGGCAGGTTTGGGCTATCGAACCACTCGCTGCGATCAATGGGCGATTGAGGATCGATGCATCCCCTAGTGCCTTATCCCTCCCTATCGTTGCCCCTGGGGGAGGTGCAGCTCGGTGCCTCGAAGAGGCTCGAAAGCTTGGAGTCTCGGAGACTCGGCGAAGCTCGAGCTTGGGCAGTTGCGGGGGGGGGAAGAGGAGGGGGGGGAGGAGGAGGAGGAGGAGGAGGAGGAGGAGGAGGAGGAGGAGGAGGAGGAGGAGAAGAGGAGGAGGAGGAGGAGGAGGAGGAGGAGGACGAGGAGGAGGACGAGGAGGAGGAGGAGGAGTGGAAAGGGGGAGGGGGAGGGGAAGGGGGAGGAGGAGGAGGAAAAGGAGGAGGAGGAGGAGGAGGGGCCAAGAACCGTGTAAGGGGTGCGCTAAAAAAGTAACTCCAATTCTCTGCGTGCTCGAAAAACGCATGTGATTTCAACATCCAGTCGGTCCCCATGGCCCTGCCACGCGTTCCTGACTCGGAACGGCAGAGAAAGTGAGAATCCCATGGCCCTGCCGCACGTTCGTGACTTGGGAATACTGAAATGGTGAGAACCCCATAACCCTGCCACGCACTCGTGACTGCGGAAACTGAAATGGTGAGACCCCCATTGCCATGCTCAGCGATTTTTCCCCATATCCTAAGGATTGGGGTTCTTGTTATTACTCTGACGCCTCCCACTCCTCCTCCTCCTTCTTCCTCCCGCCTCCCGCCTCCCTCCTCCCAATGATAATCACCAGATAAGAGAAGACAAGATACTATACTACAAGATAAGATAATATAGCACAATATATGATAAGGTAAGAAAGGACATATGACAAGGTAGGACAATATATAAGATAAGACAGCCTATGGAGTAATAAGATAAGACAAGATATGATGCGATAAAATGAGTTGGTATAAGATAATCTGATACAAGATACGAGATTTCAAGATAAGATAATATAGAGGGTAATAAGGGTAAGATAAGACAGGACTCGATAAGATAAGATGAGACTCACTCTCACTCAGACTCACTCACAGTCACATTCACTCACACTCACACTCTCTCATGATCACAAAACGCTGCCAGGGACATCATTTGGGAGCCCCAAGGGGGAGCCACCCTGGCTGATCTCACGAGCCCGTTCGCGCCGATTTTGGTGGGACGCCTCAGCTAGAATTGCCGTTTGGCCTCCCCAACATGTATCTCTTGAGAGCCTCATGGTCACAAAACGCTGCCAGGGGCATCATTTGGGAGCCCCAAGGGGGAGCCACCCTGGCTGATCTCACGAGCCCGTTCGCGCCGATTTTGGTGGGACGCCTCAGCTAGAATTGCCGTTTGGCCTCCCCAACATGTATCTCTTGAGAGCCTCATGGTCACAAAACGCTGCCAGGGGCATCATTTGGGAGCCCCAAGGGGGAGCCACCCTGGCTGATCTCACGAGCCCGTTCGCGCCGATTTTGGTGGGACGCCTCAGCTAGAATTGCCGTTTGGCGTCCCCAACATGTATCTCTTGAGAGCCTCATGGTCGCAAAACGCTGCCAGGGGCATCATTTGGGAGCCCCAAGG